TGTTTACATTGGTTGTACGGCTCCACGTGCTGTCATCGAAGCCCAACGGAGAGCTAGCGACACGGTCACTATGATGCATAAATATATATTGTCATGCAACTCACTGTCGCAGTTGTAGTAGCATATATATATCGTTATGCAAAACAATATGTAAAGCGCCCCCAAATACTTGCATTAGTCTGTTCTATACTGATTTCTGAAAAAGCACGTTTGTTTACAATCAAGAAAAAAGTCCGGTCACATGATATGCAAATTAGCCTGTGGCAGTGGTGTTATGCTGAGTCACCACTGCGACGGAGTGTGAGGAAATGCGTCGTCTGCTAAACATGACCAAGGGAAAATTTCGTATCTTTATGGCTGAAGATTCCGATCTTTGTTAAGATCGGCTACTTAAGAACTTGTAAAGTTACAATCGCCCAAAGATCGCTTTGTGGAACGGTTGTAAACTTTAGCTAAGACAATTTTAGAATCGACGTAAGTCTCTAAGATTGATTGTAGTTACGATCGCTTTGTGGAACGGGGCCCTGGACTATCGTGGGATGATCCGAGTAAACCCGACACGCATATATTATATCTCGACGCCAACAATTTGTATGGATGGGCTATGAGTCAACCTTTACCCACGGGTGGTTTTGAAGGGGTCGATGATATCGATGTGAATGATATCCATAATATCGATGCGAATAAAGGGTACATACTAGAAGTTGACTTGGAATATCCAAATTCGTTACATAAAGACCATAACAGTTATCTGCTAGCTCCCGAAAGATTAATGGTTAATAAAGATTGGAGGTCGGAATATCAACACTCCTTGATGGGTTATACAAGGTTAGCTAACGTAGAAAAACTCGTACCAAATTTGATGGGTAAGACAAAATATATAGTTCACTTCAGAAATCTCCAGTTATATCTATCGTTAGGTATGAAACTAAAGAAAATACACAGAGTTCTAAAGTTTGATCAAAGCCCTTGGATGGAGCCCTATATAAGGCTGAACACAGATTTAAGAAAGATAGCCACCAGCGATTTTGAAAAGAACCTATATGAGCTCATGAATAACTCAGTATTTGGTAAAACTATGGAGAATCTGAGGAAGCGTGTTGATGTTATATTAGTCAGGTCTAATGAGGAAGAAAGACTCAGGAAACTTATAGCCAGTCGGGCTTTTAACTGAAGCAAGATATTCGATAACGACTTAGCCGTGTTGCAAATGCAGAAGAGTAATATAAAATTCAACAGACCGGTGTACGTCGGTATGAGTATTCTCGACTTGTCAAAACACTTAATGTATGACTTTTATTACAACGAACTTTAGAAGCAATACGGCGATAGATGTGAGGTGTTATATACCGACACAGATTCTTTGTTGATGGAAATACAAACCGAGGATGTGTATAAAGATATGGCTGAAAAAATAGATATGTACGACACGAGCGATTACCCTAAAGATAATCCACTGCACAGCGTAGTAAATAAAAAAAGGTGTTAGGTAAGATGAAGGATGAATGTGCTGGGACCCCTAAAGCGGAGTATGTAGGATTAAGACCTAAGATGTATTCTATAAAAAAGTCAGATAATGGAGAGATAAGAAAAGCTAAGGGTGTTTAGAAGTATGTAGTAAAAAAGCATATCAAACACGAACAGTATAAAGAATCATTATTCAACGGTAGAACGTTCAAACACGAGATGAACTCTTTAAGAAGTTACAATCATAGGATATATGGATTTAGAATGAACAACACATCATTATCCCCCTTAGATACAAAGAGATGGATTGATAATGATGGTGTAACTACCTATGCTTATGGTTATTTAGGGCGGTAATACTGTATCGTTGGGAACTATGAGCAACTCTTCTCGTACAAATGCCCTGCCCGGTCCATCTTTAAGATAACAAAGAAAAGGCTCTACTTCTTTCGTAACCAATCGACTAATGTTATATGTCTTAAGGGACCAAATCGGATCAGTTACGCGACGTAGGCCTCCTTCGAGTTCACTGGGCTGGTATAAATATCTGACGCTTACTCTATCCGGAAGATTTTGTTCTTTGCCTCTCCTCGGTGCTGAAGATTCGGAAGTCACAGATTTCATTTTTATCGCATCGGATGGTTTCTTCCCGATTAATCTCGTTACTTCATTATTCAGCGCTGATACAACAGCTGATAATCGTGTCACCCATTCGGTTGATCTCAATCGTTCCGATTTTATTTCAATCCCATACTGATAGCCAAACAAACGTTCCGCTAATGTCCGGTTAAATCTTTCGAAGATAGCTTGATTACGTTGGGCCTCTTTTTCACCACGGCCTGATTTCGACATCGTGCTTTGTTAACAGTTTAGTTACCGATCCCATAAACTCGCGACCGGGATCTACTTGAAATAGCTTAGGTCATTTTAGTGGTCCGCGTTTATATATGCGGCTCAGTGCATTAGCTACTTCTGTTGAATCTTTCGAAGTTAATGGCTCTGCCTCTTTGTATCGACTAGCCACATCCACTAGGGTCAAAGCGTATTTATACGTTTTGCGTCTTACCTTATCATGGGGAAGAAACAAGAAGTCAGCCTGATGAACTTCATTCGTTGTAAAAATATCAAACTTCTTTCTCGGTATATAATGCGGTGCCGGTAAGTATATTTGCCACATCGCTTGTTTCTTTAACCAATCCTTGGCCACATCTTTAGATACCTTAGCCGCGGTGGCTATTTTTTTTATTGCTCCTATACCTTTCCAATATCCTCGTGGGCTATTGTAAATTTTATCCATTATTAATTAATATTGATGTTTCTTTTAATACGAATCATGACTATCGTTGAATCGCATCATCATTTTTGCCTAAAAAATTCCATCTGTAGTGGCAGTATAGGTATATAAATCTGGCTCCAGTTGAAGTGGTCCAGAACCCCCATTACAAGCATACTACTCAACTCACTCACACTTCCAGTCATGAATATTTCTCATTCACCTCTGTGGTAGTATGTATAAAATCTCTGGCAAAACTACTGCCAACACAAAAAAATATAGAGGAGCAGCAATAGCTTTGTGTTCTAAACACAACATATAAAACTCATTGTTCAAAAGAAAATTGAGACTATCCAGTGAGATGTAGGGTTTTATTCACAGGATCAAAACACAAACAAGAATGTTAAATATACAACGTTTCAATCTAAACAAAATCAATATAGCTGCTGTCTTGTTACATCATGGTAACACAATAGATGATATCAGTATCATATCGTAACAGTGTGCCTATATATATATGACATGACATAAGTAATGTGGCCTGGGGTTAGGACTAGTTTATCCAGGGAATCATGCACACACAAATACGGTGTTAGCGTTGGGTGTCTCAACATGCGTGATTCCCGTGCACCCTTTCGAGTTGAGTTGATTGGTTCAACTGTGTCATATGGCCCTGTGACGCAGGGGTAGCTTTATGCAGATGGCTGTTTCAATGAATGCTCGTTCCACCCGTGACGAACAGGTCTGGTTGTTGATGAAATATAGTGATAGCCAAATAGACCGATTTTTTATTCATGCACAGATTGTCTTTAAATGTAATATCCAGTTATGTATGACAGTTTAATATCCTCATACCAACTTTGACTGGAGTAGGTCCGACAGTTTTTCAGATATTGTAGTAAATGTCTGTACCTTAAATTACCTTCCAGACTATAGTACAATACGGGTTTGAATTTTTATGTTTATTTTGACCCTACAATTTGGAAACACAAATCTGTAATGCAAGTGAGTATGGTAATAAATACCCCAACCTACACCAGACATGTTCTTGTGACTAGCCCTGGTGGACAAGCACTGCTCATCACCACAGTGCTACAACAGCAGGCACAATACCATCACCTACGATGCTAACATAAGGTCCCTGACTTGCACAACTTGAGGTGGGAGATATGTTAAGTCAATTAATATACACATATATAACAATATCAAACTCATCAGAAAATGCAAACAGTTTTCCATATGATTCAAATAGACACATAATGTTATGCTGATGTTCCTACATTGCACATGATCCAGAGACATATCACAGTGACAGTATAGTATCAATATCATGAGTTTTGAAAGACAAACATATATTGTAAGTCATACCTCCAGAACATTGTTACTTGATAATAATAATAAAAAAAAAAATTGTCTCTGGTTCAGTGAAGAGAATTGCAAAACTAATATGAAGAAAATATCACACATCTAAAGGTAAAAAACACCCTGATAAAAAAAAAATCCCCCCTTAAAATACAGGTAAGTGGAATGTTATTGCATATCATAAACAATGTAAGTGTAATGATGACAAACTGTATTTCATTGTAAGGGTAATACTGTCTCTTTCACAGGCCCCTGTCATCATGTTAGAGGGACAGTACATCAACAGTTCTGTAGAATTGTTTGTAAACAATAGCCATGAACCCCAATGCCGACTCAGCTCATCCTCTATACTGTACATCATAAAATTAATGCATCTCCAAAAGAATGCGCCCGCTGGACCCTAGCCAAAAATGCCACTCAATATGAATTTGACACCTCCCTTCTCTCTGACTGACAGACTGATATAGGAGATTTAACGTGCGCTTTCCGACTGTAGCGTATTTCGCACACGGGCCTGGCCGGGCCATTTAGTGTATTCCGAGAAGGGTGAAAGTGGTGTGTGCAACCCAAGAGGGGGCTTTTAGGGGTTGCTTATATTGAATTTTTGGAATTTTTAAATTTGGAATAAATGCCGAGGTGGGTGGAGGAGGGAACTAAGGGAGCCGGGTGAGGTGGGTGTTTGTATGTTTATTGGATTTTGGATTGGTAGATTAATGAGTTTTTAGATGCGCTTAATTAGCTCTGTTTTGATTAGGAATACGCCTAGGGCCTTGAAGTTTTCTAGTTTATTTTGAGGGTTTAGTATTTCATCTAGAGTAGGAGCCTTATTTAGATTGAGGGTGGTTTGTAGTGTGGTTCTGTGTGTTTGGTAGTGGGTGCAATGGATGAGTGCGTGTTTTGTGGTTTCGGGTTGTTTGCAGTGGGGGCAGTTGCCTGTGGTGTGTCTTTTAAGTTTTTTTAGGTGGTTATTTAGGTTCGTGTGTCCTGTTTGGAGTTTTGTAATTAATCTGTCAATTTTTTTAGAGGCTCGTAATGGCCTTTGACGCAGTCTCAAAGAACAAAGACACCATGTTGCGTGGGTGGCGTCTGTCTGGACTTGCAGGTGTGATCAGTGATGACATAAGTAAGAAGAACTGTTGTCTTGACCCAGGCAGTGACAATTCACAGGATGTAATTAGTGTTTGAATGACCTTGTTTATATACTTGTTACAAGTGCTGCTCAATAAACAGTGATGGGGAATACATAGTTGTTTGTTTGTTATTGTTGATATAAATGCAATGTTTAATAATGTGAGCAAAGACCACTCGCATTTTTTGCATTTAATTCATGATCACATTCATTTTAAGATTTACGTTATCTCCTACACTAACCCTGGAATCTCTCCCCTGATTCTCACATCTCATATACCCGCCCTTGATCTCCATTTGCCATTTGATTTTCTACGCTACCAGGTCAAACGTACCAATCAGAATGAGAGTTACACACAAGTCTCAATGTTGGGTTGGCCAGTCATGTTGATAATGACGAATTTGGGAGAAATTCAATATTGAAAAACTGACTGGCATGCAAAAGAAAGCCCTCAAGAATTGTTTTGATTGATAGGATGTCCTCATGTCAGTTCAAACAGGTGGTAACTTTGATTTCTGGGTAATCCCTTACTCTTTCCAATTCCCTTAAGTCAACGTTTGATTGGTTGGCAAAATGTTAATGAAAATCAAGGGTGGGTAATTTTCGATTGAAAGACCCATGGGTCAGTGTAGTTTTACCCATATGTGAGCCCAAGACATTTCTGCCCCAGTGAATACACTGCGTTGTTAGGTTAATCACGTGACTGATCTTTCCTCTTGTTTGTAAACAACCACACTTATTCTGAAATAAGAACTGACAGGCCTAATGCAAGCCTTTTGGTGCGCTGTAAATATTGTCTTTCATAATTATATAGATATCCTATTACAACTGTGATAGTTGTTATCACATTTAAGGATATTCTCTCATTGAAAGTTAAACATTTCATGACAAGTTTATCCAAATGTGAAGACTCGTCCAAATTGAAACAGATGAAAAACACATGAATGGACTGTCTAAGTGTGATGGTTTGACAGAGGTACAAGGATTGCCGCAAGGAACTCTGGTTGGGACGGTGATTGGCTGAGTATGATTGAGGCATTTACATCGTAGTTTAGTCTTTGATAAACATTGGCTTGTAATCTAATGAAACGGGCAATCAGTATTTGGCAACACATCCACAAGAAAATACACACAGGCTTTCTCTTCAATTTCCCTCTTAAAACAAGATGACTGAAGTCAGTGTCCTCTGCATAGCGCTTGCATTTTTAGGCTTTGCTCTTGTTGTTTTGGTTTGAGAATTGAATCATTTCGTAAACTAATGTGAAGTCACACATGACAACTATTTCATGTATGATTAATATACACCCAGAACCATTGACATACTGTCCCTTAACAAACAAAATGTTGAATCAGTGGAATTTGTGCCAATCAAAATTTTCCCCAACTACACGTAATGACAAAGTCGATCCTTTTGGTGTCTCGTTGATAAACGGCGTGTCTACAAACTGGATGGTGCAGCTGCTCCTTGACTGACATTCTGTACTTTCTAGTTCCAGCATCACAAGGGTGTTTGTTCCAGGGGGCGCAACCAGTTCAGGTTTTGGGACGTACAGTGTAACCTGCGGCCCGGCAACTGGCCAGTAGCGTCCCAAATTGAAGCCATTTACCAAGGCTTGACCCTGTGAAGAAACAGCCAAAATGATTTGTGTACAGAATAAATGGGATCTCTATGACTGAGTCTTGTACAATTATGTTAGCTCCGATAAAAAAGGTCCTAATTATAACACTAAAATGTAAAAGAAATGATGTTAAGACACAGACAGAGACACATGCAATTATTCAAACCGAATATGATGTCATCATAAGTTGAAACATACTTAAGTTCAGATTCTTCTGTCTGTCAGTTTCAGGGGAGAAGTTTACAGAGCCAATATGACTTTGAGAGAGGTTAAGAGCATGGTAAAACAAGGTCAAAAGTAAAAATATCACCCAAAATGGAACACATGTTGCGGCCCACTACTAACTACACAAGTACCAAATCGCATTCCTATTTTGAACAGTAATAGCTGCCTAAAGGACATAAGAAGTTTCAGCTTTCATTATAGTCAAAGTGCAGAGGTCAAATTAAGTTTAAAATTTATATCATCTCAATGAACAGAATATATATATTGAGCTTCACTGCTAACTATACCAAACTATGTACCAAATTCTACCCTGCCGAGTAGTGGCCATTAATAGGTGTTTCGATAGGATTGCAGTGGCAGCTTAAACAAACTGAGGTGTCCTTATTAGTGGAAACAAGCACATCTTTGCATCACTGGGCCAGTGGTTTCTGAGGAGAAAATGCTCACAAAGGATGACAGAAAAAACCCAGACTGTGGCACAAGCTGACTTGACTTTCAGTCAGTCGAGATAATAAAGAGTTGACCTCATCCTTGTACAATCCACTCCTGTTGACATAGCTGTTGGACTACCTCAGGAATACATTTCTATGTTCAACACCAACTGAATTACTACTATGTTTGTAAAAGCAATCAGCTGGTTTAAAATTGATAAATAAGAAGAATAGAAGAGATCAGAGATGCTTGTGGTTTAATGAGATTTTGTTTATGAATGAAAATAATATTGACCATATTAACATTTAGCAGTAAGTCACTAAATGTGCTCACTTTCGCTATCACTTTCAGCATTCTTTTATCAAACACTGCTCAATTTCTATTGCTATGTTTTGCTATCACTCGAGCATTATATTTATTAATGTGACAAAAATTGGCAATCTATTCCTTTTCGGTCTGCCATTTCAAATTCTTTCTATTACACTTTACGGCACAGACTCGCGCACATAATCCCAGACAATGCCTCTTAAGCACAGGGCAGCAATAAACCACAAGCTCATTGGCGGTAGGGCCAAGGCGGCCAGGCTCAGGGTGAGGGAGACAGGCGGGAGTGGTGCCATCCCCCGACTGCGGTTCCTCACCTGACACCAGCACAGTTTGAAGGTCACCCCACACCTGTCACGACAAAGGCACTGGGACATCACTTGCAGTTGCAGGGACACCCAGCATTTGTCATCCCCATAGCAGTGGCAGACTGCAGCCAAGGTACATACCCATTCAACCAAAATGCCCACCATGTCCATATAATGCTTGCAATGCTTATTTCACAGGTTAACCAAACACTATCGCCACACTATCGCCACACCATCTCAACACAACTCAATCCAGCTTATCAAAGTTTTAATCAGCAAATTATAAATATTACTAATAAGTCAAGGGCACCAAAACCTAGTCACAATGCTACAGGCTCACCAAACCAACCCAGATTATCAAAATTCTAGTCAGCTAGCCATTAATCATCAGTTAAATGTCAATACTGAAAGCATTGGTTTTCATGTCAAACAAGCAATAAGGGGAAAAATACACCGTGATGACCTTATGGACATAAAAACTCTTTTTTTTACGGCTGGATAGCCAGCCATCACAGAAAGGATTCAACTTTACCATGGAACTGGATGCATCAGGCCAGGTAACCTTCAAACCCAGACAGCATCCAACCAAGCCTCTCAATATTGGGTCTTACCTACATCAGCATTGACATAGAGCGAAACACAAATGTCAACAAAATGCAGGAGCTGCTCACCTATGTTGAAACAATCTGCGCTGTTACTGTCCGCTTTGGTAGCAACAGCTGGCCACAATATGACATACAGTTTCACCAAAAAATGGAGACTGTTCCTGGTCATGGGGTACAATCAATGGGCCAGTGCAGTACACTAGTTTCAATCAAGCAGTCTTCATGATACAAAAGCTTGGTAAGGGTGTGGCATTTATTCATTTTCGATATCAAATCACCTCACCTCTTAGATGTTCCAAAGGCGCATGTAAGCCTCATCATAAAATATGCACATCAGCAGGCATGCAGGACAACCTCAACTTCTGGATGCAATTCCTTATCAATCCCAACGGCACAACGTTATTCCAGGAACAGGAGTTGGTCAGCATCCCACACCTTCAACTCTATATGAGCGCAGTGGACTGCCAGGGTTTTGAAGCATACTTTCAGGGACACTGAACTAGTGCCAGCTGTCAAGAACAATGGATACAGCTGGGGTGGGTCAAAGACATTACATTATTGGAGCTACATTATTGCAGCCTAGCCAACAAAAGTGTACTACTATTCTGTGACAACCATAAACACACCGCCAAGGGTCAAATGTTTACAAAACAACATCCATTTCAAAGCTCATTATATCTCCACCTGGGCAACCATAAATATAGATGCTCTTTTGAGATTTCAGTGGTCCTGGTTTGGAGCAGCAGCACCTCCAGCGGATGATCAGGCAACCGCAGAAGTAGGCAAATTAGTGGCCAGTTCAGTGGTCCCTAATAGATCGAGGACCTATGATTCAGCAATTAAATTACAACAGCAATTCCAGGTGGCATAATCCTGTCTGATGTCTGGCCAGTACCTTTACATCACACTCCATTTCATAACACACCTCTCTTTGTCAGGTACGAGTACAGCACACTCCTATGTCTCAGCCTTGGCATCAGTGCAACAGCTAAATTCTATGTAGAGCATGTTTAACCATTTTCATTTTCTAGTGCAGAAGGCCATTGCCGGGATGTCCAGGCTCTCTCAGCGTACTGACGCAAGACAACCTATCACAGTGGAATTATTACTGCCCATCACATGGTTCCTCCCCACGGTATGTAACAATTCATGTGAAGTTTTACTTTCTGTTCAGCATACCTGTGAACGTTCTTTTGCAGGGTAAGCAGAGTAGTGGTGGAGTGTGCAAAAGACACAATGCAGAGGGCATTTTTGTTTTCTGTCCTTTGCCAATGATTTATTTTACATTGATGAAATCTTAAGAACATTGAAGACAGATCAGCAAGGCCGCAGCATTCCAATCTCTATCCAGGCCACTCCTCAGTCCATACTATGCCCAGTCAAATCTTTCTTAACAGTAGCAGCAAGTGGATATTTATTCATGCACACAACACTCTTCCTCTTTAACAAAATTTCAGTTTCAGACAGTGCTGAAAAAGACCTTAACTGCAACAAAAGACAATATGAATGCCAATCTTTATTCTTCACATTCCTTCCATATTTGAGTGGCGACAATGGCTGCTGTACAGGGTATGCTGCCACAGTAGATCCAGCAGTTGGGACACTGGACAACAGCTGCATTCAAAAGTTACATACTTACATCACACTGCTTTGAGGGTTACAGGGCCAGCCTGGATCGTAGGGTCCAGTTATGCAGCCAGGCTGAGCCATTACGACATGTGTCAGGTCCCTTCCAAAGACTTATCTGATTCTAGCTACCAGGATTTGCTCTATATTTGTCTTGTACAGCTGCAGTCCAAATCTTCCTGCATGTAGAGGAAATGGAGCTCACAAGGGGTCCAAAGACAGTACCGGGTATGACCGCCCCTCAACGACTTCTCATGGACAATATCAGTCTCTGGATAACAGCTTTTGGTATCCTACAAAAACTTCAGCGATTTGAGGTCGATGTGCAATGCGATGTCCCATGTAATCAAACGGGTGAATAAAACCGTGCTTGGAAGGAGTTGGCATCCAGGAGATCCACCTCATTCTTAGCGATCAGAATGTCGATATTGGCTTGAATAGCTGGAACATCGAGAGAATGATAGCGAGAACAGCTCAAAACTGCAGGCGGAACCCATGGCAATTCCTCCAGTAAGTTTGAAGTCTCCCTCCTACTGGGGACGGCTGAACAGGGACAACTGGCGGAAGGAGTTGCCTCTCCAAACATGGTCTCTTCCCAACATAGGACTTTTACTGCTGAGAGAGCTGTGAAGAGAGGAGACGTTAAGTAGACGAAACTGTTGATTATTAGCGTCCCATTACTCCTTGGCAATAGTAGGGATCTGGCTGTTGAAGTGAGTCACACCCGACCAAGGTGGACGCATCAATTGCATCTTGAAAGATGGATCCCAGGAAGACAGTTCGAGCAAGGCTGAGCGTCTAGTGACGGTAAGTGGACAAGTGCACAAGTTGCTGTTGCCAGGCCAAGGCAGGGGTGAGAGTTGCCCAGGTGAGGCAACGGTCGGCGAGGAACAGTACGTGGCGAGGGTGTGGCTTGGCTACTGGACGGCGACCGTTGGAGACGGTCCAGTGAAACATGGTGAAGGATCAGCAAAATGTGGCGACTATCAGACGAAACCTGAGAGCGATCCGGTGACAACTGGATACACTGTCCTGGGGAAAGCTGATGACAGTGCTTGTCAAAAGCATCGGGCGCGTCATCAGGAGTATGAGAATGGCGAGGGGAACCAGAACAGCATAATGAAGTATGAGTTGAGGCATGGGAATGACGACCCGGTGACTGGCAAGATCAGACAACATCTGGATGATGCTGAAGAAGTAGGGGCAAAGCTGATGTGGGTCTTTCCCCGACTTGGGTCTTTTACATAAAGCACAACACATAGAATACATTCTAGAAAAAATGTAAACAGCGCCTAAAAGTAACGAACAGAATTACATATGACCCAAAACACGTTACTGAACAAAGAGGTGAACCAAGCGCTCAAACACAACCAGAGAGTGACGAGCGACTGGTAGCAAACCAAACACATAATACACCTAATTATTATGTGTTATGTCAATAGAAAGCCATAATCAACAAAATAATTGAAACATTTACCAAAAGTTTAAGAACACTATAGCAAAAATGACATTAGTGCGTAACCTCATAAACACGAGAAGCACAAAAGTTAAAATGGCGACCAAGGCACGAAAGTTAGGCTGCAATGAACAAAAACGAAGTATCAAGGTATAAACCACAAACAAGCAGATATATCAAGCAGGGAAAGGATATATGTAGGTAGCACCACCTGAAGACAAAATTTGATGACAAAACAAGGAAAGTAAAAACGTCTGTCCTCAGGCAAACGGAGAAGTATATGAGGGAGAAGGGACCAAGGGGGATAACTCTTGGATACACGAGCACTGGCTGTAGTTTGTTTCAACTGTCTCTTCACTCCAGTTCTGTCTGTTTGTATATGGTTGGGAAGCTCAAGCACATCCTACAAGATAGTCGGTCATAACATCTTCTGTCATACTTCACTACTGGTGGTTATGTGTTCCTTATTCGTTCATTATTATCCTACAACTATTACTATAAGCTAACATCTCCTACAATTATGGAAATGTAAAGTTATTTCCACGTATCTGAGTCTTTGTGTTACAATTTTTTCTGCATTAAAATGTTTCTGAGCAGCATGTTAGTGGCAGACATTCAAGGACTAACTTACCTTATGCCAGGGCCTCATGTCCAGGAAGGAGTCCTGTGGCATGCCTGCCATGTTTGGCACTGGTATTTTACCCATGTAGATGGAGGGAGTCTCTAGATCACCTGATGCTGATTTCTTGGGACCAGCCCTGAAATTGAACAATAAAGGCTGTTACCATTGATACAATAGATAGTCGTACTAAGTGCTGGTTTTACAAAGATACCCTAGTGTCCACAAGTAGTATAGGTAATGATGGTTCTGGCTCACTTCCACTGGAGCAGGATTTATATACCTATACCATCACTACAGATGGAATTTTTTATGTCAAAATGATTATGCGATTCAACGATAGTCATGAGATTAAGTTAAATTGGCTCTAGCTCACCACCACCTGGAGCCAATGATATAAATTTTTATAGGTAATGATGGTTCTGTCTCACTTCCACTGGAGCAGGATTTATATTAAACGAAATATCAATATTAATTAATAATGAATAAAATTTACTATAGCCCACGAGGATATTGGAAAGGTGTAGGAGCAATAAAAAAATTAGCCACCGCGGCTAAGGTATCTAAAGATGTGGCCAAGGATTGGTTAAAGAAACAAGCGATGTGGCAGATATATTTACCGGCACCGCGTTATATACCGAGAAAGAAGTTTGATATTTTTACAACGAATGAAGTTCATCAGGCTGACCTCTTGTTTCTTCCCCACGATAAGGTAAAACGCAAAACGTATAAATACGCTTTAACAATAGTTGATGTGGCTAGTCGATACAAAGAGGCAGAGCCATTAACATCGAAAGAATCAACAGAGGTAGCTAATGCACTGAGTCGCATATATAAACGCGGACCGCTAAAATGGCCTAAGCTATTTCAAGAAGATCCAGGTCGCGAGTTTATGGGATCGGTAACTAAACTGTTAACAAAGAACGATGTCGAAATCTTCCGTGGTGAAAGAGAGGCCCACCGCAGTCAAGCTATCGTCGAAAGATTTAACAGGACATTAGCGGAACGTTTGTTTGGCTATCAGTATGGGATCGAAATGAAATCCGAGCGATTGAGATCAACCGAATGGGTGACACGATTATCAGCCGTTGTATCAGCGCTGAATAATGAAGTAACGAGATTAATAGGGAAGAAACCATCCGATGCTATTAAAATGAAATCCGTGACTTCCGAATCTTCAGCACCGAGGAGAGGCAAAGAACAAAATCTTCCGGATAGAGTAAGGGTAAGATATTTATACCAGGCCGGTGAACTCGAAGGAGGCCTACGTCGCGCAACCGATCCCATATGGTCCCTTAAGACGTATAACATTAGTCGATTGGTTACGAAAGAAGGAGAGCCTATTCTTTATTATCTTCAAGATGGACCGGGTAGGGCATTTGTACGAGAAGAGTTGTTCATAGTTCCCGACGGTACGGTATTACCACCATAACCATAAGCATAGGTATTTACACCATCATTATCAATCCATCTCTTTGTATCTAAGGGGGATAATGATGTCTTGTTCATTCTTAATCCATATATCCTATGATTGTAACTATTTAAAGAGTTCATCTCGTGTTTGAACGTTCTACCGTTGAATAATGATTCTTTATACTGTTCGTGTTTGATATGCTTTTTTACAACATACTTCTTAACGCCCTTAGCTTTTCTTATCTCTCCATTATCGGACTTCTTTATAGAATACATCTTAGGTCTTAATCCTACATACTCCACTATAGGGGTCCCAGCACATTCATCCTTCATCTTACCTAACACCTTTTTATTTACAACGCTGTGCAGTGGATTATCTTTTGGGTAATCGCTCGTGTCGTACATATCTAATTTTTCTGCCATATCTTTATACACATCCTCGGTTTGTATTTCCATCAACAAAGAATCTGTGTCGGTATATAACACCTCGCATCTATCGCCGTATTGCTTCTTAAGTTCGTTGTAATAAAAGTCATACCTTAAGTGTTTTGACAAGTCGAGAATACTCATACCGACGTACACCGGTCTGTTGAATTTTATATTACTCTTCTACATATGCAACGCGGCTAAGTCGTTATCAAATATCTTGCTTCTGTTAAAAGCCGGACTGGCTATAAGTTTCCTGAATCTTTCTTCCTCATTAGATCTGACTAATTTAACATCAACACGCTTCCTTAGATTCTCCATAGTTTTACCAAATACTGAGTTATTCATGAGCTTATACAGATTCTTTTCGAAATCGCTGGTAGCTATCTTTCTTAAATCTGTGTTCAACCTTATATAGGGCTCCATCCAAGGGCTTTGATCGAACTTTAGAACTCTGTGTATTTTCTTAAGTTTCATACCTAACGATAGATACAACTGGAGATTTCTGTAGTGAACTATATATTTTGTTTTATCCATCAAATTTGGTACGAGTTTTTCTACGTTAGCTAACCTACTATTACCCATCAAGGAGCGTTGATATTCCGACATCCAATCTTTATTAACCATTAATCTTTCGGGAGCTAGCGGATAACTGTTATGGTCTTTATGTAACGAACTTGGATATTCCAAGTCAACTTCTAGTATGTACCCTTTATTCACTTCCATATCATTATTATGAATATTATGGATATCATTCAGTACATCGGTTTTTAAGTACAGATCATGATAATCGCCTAAATTCTTACAACCTAATTTATCCCACACCGTCAGAGCGTGTTCATAATCGGAATCTGTTATTCTAGATTCTGTTAAGTTACTATAGAATGATTCGAGGGGTGGTAATTCAGTTTCTTCAAATCTAGACCAATCATCCATATATTCGTAAGGATATACACCTTTTCTCAGCAACAAATGACGAGTTATCTTATCGGTATATTTATTTGTTATCGCGAAGTCATCGGGATTGTTCGCATTAGCTAAATTGTCCAGGGAAGATAACAGAAACTGTACGGAGTCTATGAATCTAAGCCCATTACTTTGCTTTGTTCTAGATTTCCCATCCTTGTCCCTATAATGTATAGGTTTAGTCAACGAGAACGATATGTATTTTTCCATATTATTAGGAATGCACGTTAAACCGCCGTCGGTCTTTGAGATAGCTTGCATAATGAGATGTGAATCGTATCCCCTAAGGTTATGAAACACAACGGGGATGGGTATTGTTTGAGAGTTCATTTTTAGTTTCAAGTTACACTCGTTATGAGCGGCTCCCCGATAATTACCCGTGACGTGACAATGATCTCTTACAGAATCCCCATCCAGGGGTTTATTACAAACGTGACAACTCGTTGACTTCTTATAGGCACTCCAATTATCCCTCGTCATACGCATGGGTTTCTTACACGATAATTTTTCCCTGATTATTCTCTCTTCATTTTGTAGATATTCTAGGAACTTTCCCGCTGCATCGGGTCCTCTGTAAATCACGGAAGTGTTTGTTTTCCCATCATACCTTACAACTATATATCCAAACCCACAAGGAATATGTTCTTGAGTTTTGTACGTAAAACTATTATCAGTATTGCTATGGTTGGTATTTTCTATGGGTTTGATAAGCGCTTCGAAGAACAATAATGTTCAAATTTTAATATATTTTTTCCCTCTTTAGGCATATCGATCCTGATAGCATTCTGTCCAACACCTCTACAGTCTTCTTTATGCGCTTATTTTATACTATGTAAATGATCTAATTCCTCGTTAATTTTACTCGATATGATGGGCTTAATATCGTTAACATCCATGTTGGAATTAATATCCATCTTCCAACCTCTTAGATATTTACCAACGCCGGCGGATGTGGGTACAAATATTAATTCTTGTTGTTTATTATCATTATCAGTATCATTTTGTTGAATATCAACATTATTAGGTTGAATATCATTATCAATAGGTTGATTATTATCTAGTAAAGCGATCAATTCAGCTCTTCTCATTCGAGAATAACCTCTCAGCCCACCGTTTCTCGCTCGAGCTTTGAGTTCTCTAACAGTCTGGGGTCTGTTGTATTCCAAACTGAGTAAATCCATCAATTCAGCTTTTCTCATACGAGAATATCCACGCAGTCCACTTTGCTTTGCCATAGCTTTTAATTCTCTGACAAAAACCATTGTGGTTGAATGGTATATGCAAAATGAGACAAATGTCTAATTGGTTGTTTTCATATATCTAAATACATATTCTCCCCAACCTATTCCTCTCATTGATGTAATCTCTCTTCCTAGCATAAATAATCTGGTTCCTGACCCTATCAGCACCGTGTTCCTTGCATAAACAATAACGACCTTTGACCCCTATCCCGCATACAGAACACGTATAGTTAATGTTTCCGCGCCTGATGTAATAATTGTGTATGCCGCAGTAAAAAAAATCAACACAGCGTCGGTTACAAAGAGTAGTCTTCCCCATGAGTGTAAACTTGCAGTTATTCATGGTATATACATCTATCATATCATTTGTCTAAATGCAAATCACATCTACACTGTGAGATATTTATTATGCTATTTATAGATCGCTCTAAACTAGGTCATGGTTTATGCATAGATAGCCACAGCTGTCACTCTGACTTATGCATGGTATAGCTGAAAATCAATAGAGAAGTCAATCCAATAATAATAAATGTGACCTCTTGGTTCTTTTGTTCCTCTGACGGTGTATAAAACTGACTCATTGTTGGTCTTGGTATTGGGTCTAGTTTTTTCCCATAAACGAGGAAGTATTCGTGCATGGCAGATTCGACATCCTTAAACGTTTGAATTGAATGTCCTTCCTTAATCAGTTGTTCATGAATAAAGTCTAATCTCTTCATTCTCTGCTGTGTATATTGTAACTGGGCTGCTTGGTATTGTTCTAAAGCTTCGTTATGTCGTTTACGCTCCTCTTCAACTTCTTTAGCGTTTGATTCCCTCATACTGGAAAATAAATAATTACTCCCCAAAAAAGCTAGAGCATTAACAATAGCTCCACCGACCATCATCACAATTGTTGCCATGGTATATGAATATAAAATATTCAAATCTTTATATGAATATAAATATTCAAATGTTTAATTACTTCATTATGTCTTCCGGGATAAGTCCTTGTTTGATGAGCATATCCTTCGTTGCCATAGCCAATCCAATATCCAGAACCATCATTGGTATGTCATATCCATTAAAATCTAGCTTGGGAGGTGTGGCTTTA